TGGCTGTGTTAAGTCAGGCTTACGGTGGACAGATGTCAACAATGCGGTACAACGAATTCGAAAGTACACCGACCGACGACTACCGACCCCGACCCCGGCCCGGCCCCCGACTTTCCGATATATCGAACCGTACCCAGGTTACCCTCCGATAGTACCCTGGGGGACATAGACCCTATGAGCCCCACTGACCTCTATGTAATGACATGTTATCAGGAGTTAATAATAATAGATCTAATATTATTATTCACGCCTGATGTTATATATGTTACCTAACATATGTTGTTATATACAGCTCAGTGTTTACACCTGATCAGTATTGTATAACTCAAACGAAACATTCAAGTTTGGTATTAATTTGAAAATTGTTTTTATTAGAAGTAATCGCCAAAATATACATTTCTTTCACTATTGTATGTTAAAGAACATTAGATGTTTTATACAATCAGTTGGAAGACATTAACATTTAACAAATACTATTGCTCAACAATGCTTTGCTTTAAGATGAGATATGGGCACATTCAGCTATTTTAGCTCATTGACATAGTCAGATGCAGCTTGTGAGAATCGCTTGATCGTCCGTCCGTCCGTGCGTCCGTGCGTCACAGTTGGCACAATCTTTAACCGCTCGCGTTCGGTCACGATATTCGGGTCGTTGGGGGGATCGTCAAAACGAGTTGGGATGTCGAAGCTGGGGTCAATGGTCAAAGGTCAAGAGGTGTAAAGAAGGGGGAACATTCATCTTAACTTAGGTATAGGGAGGAAATGCAGATTGCGGCACAAATCTAAACGGCTCGACCTAGGCTCGTGCATAGTCGGTGTATTAGCATCATGGGTAGGAAAAGCCATCACTGTGCCTAAATGGAGGTCACAGGTCAAGGTCAATTGGGCACAGGGCAGATTTTACACATTTTTCTGGGGACATGGTCTGACGGAGCGATTGAAAAACTTTTTTGTTTCAGCGGTGACCTAGCATTTTTTATGGCTTTATTGAAAGGACCATGAAATGTGCCTTCTGCTGACATGCGAAGAGTAAGTGTGCGGATAACCTTTTGACCTCAAGAGCAGGGTTTAAACATGGATTTGTTTCACTGTCAACAAAGACTGCAACTGCTTTTGTTATAGAATCCTCCCACCTCCCTTCCCCTCCCCTCCCTCCCCCACCCTCTCCCACCCCTCCCTACGCTCCCCCTCCCTACCTCAAGAGGAGGGGTTAAACATGGATTTGTTGACTGTCTTGTAGAAAGAATTTGACTGCCTGGTTTGCTAGTAGAATCTATACTATGCCTGGATGTATGAGGCTTACAATGTCACAGTGAAAATTCAAAGTAAATTTGGTTAAAGAAAGGTTTATGCTCCTTAAATCGTATAATTTATATGGCATTTGTATGTGTCGTCATGTTACATGAAAGTTATCACTATGCCACTGCCAGTGGCTGCTGCCAGTGCAATGAGTTGCATGTGTTGGGGCTTTTTTGCCTGCGTTAATTGGTTGCAGAGTGCAGCTCTCTATTTGCAGCTGTAGGCTTGCGTAGGTAATGGATGAGTGCTTAACTATTCTGTCTTGCAAATAGTTGTTGCTACTTACGAATGATGGGAGCTTCCATCTTTAATCTGAGACACTTAAACGTACGCGCTGCCATTCGTGGCAATTTCATAAACGATCTCCAACGAACATTCTTTTGAGAAGGTTCCCTGATACATTTGTGGCATTCCACTATTTCGGCGTGTATGTGAAACACATTTGGACTAACAGGTACTAGAATCCCACCACTCCACCACAGAGTCACCGCAGTAGACGTTAGATGAGCGCTGTCGCTATGCGGCACTTGTTACATCGTAAATATTTTTGATTTCAATTATGAACAGTTGATATTCTTGTCACTATTTCTACACTAGAAGTATCTAGTATATAGTAAAGTAGTGCTAACATCGGTTAACATACAGAACTGAATATATTGCTGCTTAACGATCTTGTGCAATGATGCTTCGCTTCCAGATGTGATTCCAAGGAAACGCGTGTCCATATCTCGGAATAGTGTGCAATGATGTAAACAGTAAAAGTAAATAATTCACTGACTAAATATGCCCGGTGGTTTCAATGACAGCTTAGCCAATGGATGCGGATAGATGAATGTAATGATGATGCAGTGAGTTACTCCTCTTTAGGTGGTGGGTTCATTGACAGCAAGCTGGGATGTCGATTGCCATCTGAAGATGAGAGTAAGACACTGAGTGCTTGCCACAGCACGCACTCACACACACACGCACACACAACACGCGACGAGCACACACACACGCACACACACACGCCGCACACACACAGCTACGCGCGCCACACGCACACACTGATGTCGTAATACATACACTCTGTCAAGTTACCACATCACATAGAAGAAACCTCAAAACATCGCAATCCAATAAATATGTATGCTATGTTTCAGTTTGACTATATTTTTCTTTTTTCTTTTTTTTTAAACGAAGAGCTAGCTTTTATATTTTAGTTTTACAACATCGGAAATACGTCCATATAAAGTCAGGGTACGGTGCGACAATGCAGGGTACGCAGCGACATATCGTATAGTACCCCCCGAGGTACTTTCCGATATATCGAACCGTACCCAGGGTACCCTCCGATAGTACCCTGGGGGACATAGACCCTATCAGCGTCAGTGGGTGTATCATGTTTTCATAGTGTGTGCTGCGTATCAGTCATTGGTGATATTCAATATGATCGATTCCAACAAAGAACACACACGGCCTGCAACAGAATTGTAATTTTATGAAAAAGACATATAAATGTTTATTGTTGTACGGAATGGAAAATGGCCAACATTTACAGTCATAATTTGGACAGTATTCAGGTTGCCAAGTAAACCGAAATGCAATAGTAACACAGAAACAAGATAGCATATGGGTTACCATGGCAACGGCAGCAATGGTGCTGCCATCGCAGGAGACTTTGACGGCCCACGGTTACACAAATGAAACATTGTCAGTATAATTGCACAGATGAGCCATCTATCAAACGATATACACTTGAATCCAGACAAACATAAAACACGCACGTAGCTTCCAACAGTAATCATCGGATCACTACAGTACAGGAAGAAACCTGGAAACTGTTGAACCGAATCTGCTGCAAATGTTTGTTACATCCTAGTATACTACCTCACTAACTCACTTAGCAATGCAGAATAGAACCTCCATGGTGGTTCCCCATATGTTTACCTCTGGCCGACAATATAATTGATTACGATTCCGATTTTCTCTAACTAAGCCTGGATTTCTCTGGTCAATCTCATGCCACTTGGATGTTTTTCCCAGCAGCATTGTAGATAATTTGTTTAGTGCGTGGGCTTTCGATTCAGTAACAATTTACAGCGAAGGATGGACGGCTCGTGGTAGAGCTACGTGAAGTCAACTAACAGTCATCTAAAAGTACTCGGTGAGTAAAAGGCCATCGGTCGAACGTACGATCGTAAATGTACACAATACGTCTAAGATTCTTAGAGTTGTTTTTTTACACACACCTTTTTGTAAACTAGCCTCATGTACAATGTGCTTCAATCACCACAGGACGAGATAGAACTAACCAAACCACACACCCACACATATACCAACTCCACACCAGACGATATCGGATCTCTACACACTTTGTAAAATCATAAGAGCCAACTGTTCCACTTGCGCGGGCCATATTACCTCGAGTTGCAAGAATAACGCAAGCGCGGGGGGAGATGCGATGGTGAGGTTGGGGACCATCCACATCACCTCACCCTCCACGCCACACCCATCAACCCTCTCCTCTCTCGCCCCCCCCACCATGCCACCCACTCCCCCGGAAAACATTTATTTGCTTCTTCACATCTAAAAACAGCGTCGATATTAACTCACATGTACTCACTTTTTTTCAGAAAATAGATCAACATTTTGTACACGAGAGAGAGAAGGTCAGTTGTTCCGTTGTTCAGAAAGTCGCGCGCGCGCTACCCGCTACGTATTAAACGTGTTTGCTTCGCGTACGCAGACAAAACGCGCGTCAGCTTGACTTGCAGTGTCTCATAGTTGTCTCCCCTGATGTTCACGTAGCAGCCGCCGCCGCCGCCGGGCCAACATCGCTTGCAGCATTGCGCAACACACCCCATGGTTTTACCGAGGCACGACCGGACGACACTGTCTCGCCGCCGCCGCCGCCGCCGGGCCAACATCGCTTGCAGCATTGCGCAACACACCCCATGGTTTTACCGAGGCACGACCGGACGACACTGTCTCTCTCGCGTGCGCGCGTACCGACCTAGCAGCGCGACAAAAAATCGATGATGACGACGGCGGCAGTGGCACCTTGGCAGAACAATTTCGCGCACCACTGCCCCTCCCGGGAGTACACCGACCGATGACGTCCATTCCCGACCCCCTGCCCCGCATCGCCCGCCCCGCCCCGCCCCGCCCAACATCTGATACTGTTTTCCATGTGCGAAGATCGCCCCCCGGCATGGATGTTGTCGCGGCGCCGGTATGCACGAGCGTACGATTCCGCGCGACGCGATCGCACGCGGTGACAAGAGTTCAAACGGCGACACTTACAAAGTTGTCCTCCCTCGCGCCCGCGGCCGGTTAGTCGCCGGGGAGAAAAAACACGGCACACACGGCGTCGCGTCGCCACGGTTACACGCGCCATGACGACGGAACGTCGGCCGAAATGTCCCGTCGTCCGCGAAAAAAATGAAACGCGAATATCGAATTTTCCCCATTTTTTTTGTCATTTGGCTGTCCAAAGCAGTTCACTGATATGTACACAAACACATGGTAGTGTGCGTGTGTATGTACGTGCGCGTCCAGTAAACACATGCACGCGCACGTATAAATAATATACACGTATACTATGTGTATATTTACATGTCGTTTGTGTACATGCCACGTGTACGGCGGCGTCTCCTGATCGGCAGTGTGTGTGCTATGTTAATCCCCATTGCTAGCTAGCGCATGCGTGCGCGTACAGCAGATCCGCTCTCGTCCCCCAACACGCATTATTTACAAGGTCTGCTCGGGTTTGATGCTGCTGCTGTTGCTGCCTCTAGTCATCGTCGCCTTCCTTCGCATCTCCTGCTGCTGCCTCCGGACCTCCCTCCGGTTCCTCCGGCTCCTCTCCGGCCTCTGCTTCTGCTTCTGCCTCTGCCTCAGCCTCAGCCGCCTCCACCTCCTCGCCTAAACACGGCACAGTCAACCGATTATTAAGCACATCATCAATAATTACGTAAATATCAATAACTTATATAAATATCAATAACTAACAGAAATAAATATTGCAGTAAAAACATAGCCGGTTGGTTAACACGTACGAATGCAATTCCTGGCTCGTTTTATTATCTAATAGCTAAACTATTTATCCTATTTCTTAATTTTCCTATCAATTATCATATATATTTCTTATTATTTAGATGACTAATAGGAAAGAATAATCTAATCAGATCAGCCAAAGACAAGACCGACTGTCGAAACTCCGCGCCAGTATTCAATTCAGGATTCATCTCCAAATTAAATCTTATACTAATCGGAAAATATTGTCGCAGTTTGCGTCTTTTGCGAGCAAAGACGTTGGCGAGTGAAAGCGCACCTTCGATTTCCTCGTCCTCGCCTTCTCCCTCCTCCTCCACGTCGTCTCCCTCATAGATCTCCTCCTCCTCCACGTCCTCATCTGTAAGACAACACAATCTCACCTCAGCTCAAGTCCCAGCGCCACCACGGAAATCCGCGCTGTGAAACGCCCGCATAAGGTTTCCTTTTTTTTCCCCACACATCATCATCTATCCAGAGCAAATCCATTTAGATTAGATTCTAAACTCGCAATTATTAGTGGCACTACTACGGATAACCGTAGTAGCTAATGCTGGTGTATGTTGGCAGCAGGTAGTAGTAGGACTACTGCCTGGATCGGTGTGGTAGCTAACGCCGGTGTAAGTATGACGCTAGTAATGCTACAACTACTGCCTGGATCGGTGTGGTAGCTAACGCCGGTGTAAGTATGACGCTAGTAACGCCTAGAAAACTACTCGCCTGGATCGGAGCCTCGTTGGTACGAGCTAACGCCCGCGTCTAAGTATGACGCTAGTAACGCTACAACTACTGCCTGGATCGGTGTGGTAGCTAACGCCGGTGTAAGTATGACGCTAGTAACGCTACAACTACTGCCTGGATCGGTGTGGTAGCTAACGCCGGTGTAAGTATGACGCTTCAGTAAAGCGCTAACAACTACGCGCTGGATTGCTGGGTAGCTAACGCCGTGCTAAGTATGACAGCCTAGTCAACGCTTACAACTTAGTGCCTGGATAAGTGTTCCGGTAGCTACGCAGGCGTTGTAAGTATGACGCTAGTAACGCTAAACTACTGCCCTGGACATTCGGCGGCTTGTGGTAGCTAACGCCCGCCGTGCTCAAGTATGCATTTGCTAGTAACGCTACAACTACTGCCCTGGATCGGTCTACTGTCGGTAGCTAACGCCGGTGTAAGTATGACGCTAGTAACGCTACAACTAGTGCATGGATCAATGAGGCAGTTAACACTGATATAAGTGCAAGGCTGGTAACGCTACAACTACCGCTTGGATAATCGTAGCAGGCAACGCTGCTGTAAATGCGAACCAGGCAACGGCACAACTACGAGTTAGATAATCGTGTGTTAATAGATGGCGCTGCACTCACCGATCTCCTCGCCTTCCAAGTCTTCGTCGTCGTCGCCCTCCTCCTCCTCGACGACAACGACCGAGTCATCCACATCCTCATCCTCTTCACTGCTGACAATAAACACACACACATGGCGATCTATAAGTCTACAGGACTCAAATTTTACCACGGCACAGACATCAAGCGACGTCGTCACTCTCCTCACTTCGTTCTCCTGTTCGTGCCCCAAATATTAGTCGATAGCCACGCCAATAAATCGAATTCCACAGAACGAAACCATGCTACGGATGACCTAGCTGATTTGTCTCCATACCAGGGTAAAAAATACATGGGAGCGATGAGCGATTCGCTCTTCAAACCTCCGAAATCGCTCTCGTGAGGCTCAAAATTGCTCCTGTAAAATTGTTGACGAGAGCTATTTTCCCCACAGACTTGAAAAAGAGCTCCCGTAAAAAAAAAGTAATTTTTCCCCTGCTCCATACTCTTCTTATTAATTCCGTGTTGTATACGTATAATAGTAATAATAACAATAATAATTATAGTAATTTTAAGAAAAAGTCCACAGTGGCCCCCTCCTTTGAAGGAAATGATTGCCTTGGGCCAACTGCCGTGGTGCCCAAAAATTCCCGATTACTCCCAGTGCAACACTCGCTGTGCCCTACAGCGTAATGACCTCGGAAATTAACATTTTAAAGTGATTATGTCACCGTAAATAGCCAAAGTAAAAAAAATATTTCCACTTTTTCACAAAATGTAAGTAATTCTTAAAGTTCACTTTTTATGGTTAAATTGCTGCATTATACTTCCTATTTGACTATTGTTCGATGTAAACATACACTCGTGACTCATACATAGCCCATTGCAAGCAATTAATGTCAGGATCATAATATCAAATCGTCTAGGCTTTTTGGATTTTTAACTTGTTGAGAAACAATCTTATCAGGTAAGAATTTGACGATACATTTAGTCCCGTTAGTACTTGCTTTTAATGTAAAAAATGGAAACAAAATTTAAAAAAATATACACCAGAAAATTCGTAACGTAGTCAATTTAACGGAAACCCGTCCCCCGGGGACAAGCCTCCGCGCCTCACCTGTCCTCGTCTCCTAGTCCGTTCTCGTCCACCTCGATATCTGACACGAGGAAGTACTGCAGGGGGTTCGGCCACATGTCATCTTTTATGACCTGAGAGAGAGAGGAAGACATAGAGAGAGAGAGTGAGAGAGAGTGAGAGGAGGGTGAAACACGAGTCACACGACAGTTGCTAGTTCGAACACTGGCAGCAGTCGGAATCAACTGCAAAAAGAGACAACACTTTCTCAGGGGTAGAAATTAACTTTTCAACAGACTCCCTGCCCTCAAAAAGAGGGAGTCCGTAGCAAAATGAAGGAGTCCGCAGCCTGAAGTTCAAAACTAAAGCATAACAACAATAACGCATACATGTGCTTATTTTGAAGATTATTGCCATGCACAGCTGCCAAATTTTCTTTGGACATTTGCTGAAAAATACGGTAATTCCGCGAGGCCGTGCTCTGGAATGAACTACTACTAACTTAAATAAAAGAATTAATTAAGTTAATCAGGGAGAATTAGTTAAGAATCAGGGAGTCACACGGACTCCTGCACATGTCAAATCAGGGAGTCCGACAGTAAATCAGGGAGTATTTGACTCCGGACTCGCATTAATTTCGCACCCTGTATCTCACCGACTCTAATAGATGTGCATTGGGTTATCCGTTAAGATCCGGCAAAATCTCACGTGAATTTACAAGTGCACGTATTTTTTACGCAGTCCTATTCACTGCGAAGCGATATCCTCTCCAATCACTCTCGATCATCCACGTGTCACCACGCCGACGTCACCGCCGCGCGCCGACGTCACCCCGCAGGGGAAGCCGCGGCCGCCGCATGGCGCCACCTACCTCTGCGATGTCGTCTGCCGACGCGTCGCCGTGGTCGGTGAACCAGGAGAAGAAGGTTCGCGGCTGGTGCGGGCGCTTGCGACTGTTCTTCGCTTGCTGCTGCGGCGGCTGCTGGTGCCGCTTCGTCAGGTCCATGCCGTCCTTCCACTTGATGGCCGTCGATTTTGAAGCCGGGTCGCCTGCAACGCGAAAAGGTGGGTAGTGTAAAAGGTGGGAAGTAAGAGGCGAGACAGAAGGATACACACAGAGAAAGAGAGGATTATGTAAGTTTTGGAAATACGTATATGGGTTACGTTAACTTCACTTACGTTTTTAAAGAAACATCTTTTATTTGACGGAAAAGAACGGGAAAAACACGTCATTTTTACGGCAATTAAAGCAAAATGTTGTCCATTTAAATCCCCACATGTGTATTTCTTGGCATTACGTACAGAATATTAGAAGAAAATGCGTAAATAATTTGTAAAATTTTTACCAAGCAATATTTTTAACCAGGTTTCTCGGATTACAAGTAAAATTTTTTTTCTCGAAACCTCCTTTAGAGATATCTATAAACTGTCTCATTTTTACAATTATTTTATGCTAGTATCAAAACGTAAATAACGAAAGCATTCGTATGTTTTTTAGTTGCCTCTGTGATATTTAAAACAAGTCTTTATGTTGGGTGTCTTGGGTCTATGAATTATGAAAATCAAATCTTCCGCCAATCCGGCCACCTGGCGGGAAAATGGCCTGTGACGTGAGAGCAGGTTCTTCCCGCGTTGCGTCGCACACAAAGCCTGCATCAGTGCATGAGCACAAAGCTATCCTCGACTGTAACTTCATTCTGTAACTCGACTCATATTCGGCATCAACATCCAACTGCCATATTAATTATTATGAGCATGATATATATACATATATGCATCGTAGACTTTACTACCGAATTAAACCACATTAATACTAAGACAATAAAATCGGTTCCAACCACCATGCTGCTTTACTCACAAGCTCATGCCAATCTGCTCACAGTGTATACGCAATACGTTTCTGTTCTACTTTCTGTTTATGTTCGTGGACCTCAGGGTTATACACTACATGCATATATTATACTCATACTGTATACACTGAGTTTCTTACAATACAAGAACTAAATGCACATTACACGTGAAATAATATCATTAAACATTGTTACATGTGTGCATAAATTCTACGTAAGTCCTGTCATAATTTCCACTACGCTAAAACATTTACTATTGACTATTGTGAGCTTTGCTTTTCTTTAGTCAGGCCTACTGAGGCTACTCTCTTTAGAAAATTAGTCACTATAAAGTCAGTACTGTAGAATGGGAAATCTGACAGTTGCATAATCTGTTGGAAAAAAAAATTGGCTAGGCCTATTTAGCTTGTACCGAAAGCAAAAACATTTCATTATGTACGCCTTACCTACAATGAAATACTGAGCTAAACTCACCATTCAGCAACACTTATTTGCAGTCTTCCTTCTGGTTCGACGTTGCCTTGAACATCATCATGAATGATGCCCGGTTAATCAGTGGCCAATGGTTCAATCATGTACGGCTGAATACAACTATCTTCAACATGTTCAACACTTCATTGTCTATGTCTACTTCATTTTCATCTTCATCAATGCTGATTGACTGCTCATCCGTATCGTACGAAACTGATAAGTCTAGAGACGACTCTGAATTGGTGTTGACATTAGGCTCCATTGTACACGCTTGGCAAAGGGTAAACAAGCGAGAGTGCCTGATCTCACGTCACACTACATCACGTGCCAAAGTAGGTGGCGATTTTGCGTTCCCGCAAATTCTTATATTGTGTCCATCAAAAAATGTGTTTTTCTCATACACCCAAAAACCATTCAGCCTGTAAATTTCTTAGTAGTTGTACATAACATTGTTAATTTGATATATGTAACTATTTTTCATCACTAAAGGAGGCCTTTAAAATCCGGCAAACAACGTGCCCTTGACTCCAAGTTTATACGCAGCTTTACATATATCAGTGTTGTAGGTCTTGAGACCGTTTTCCTTGGTCTCGGTCTCGGTCTTGGCCTCGGAGTACAATGACTCGGACTCGGACTCGAGGACTCGGGTCGAGGCCGGCTCGAGGCCACTACATACATAGCACACAACTGTACATATTGTAACACGCAGTTTACAAGAATTTAAAACTAAAACTCCTAGGTTTTCTAGATACACGGCCTAATCTTGTAACGTTTTCAATGGCTCGATTAAGATTCTTGTCCCTTTGGTTTGAATCTGCTGTCACTTCGTCCCTTTGCGCTTTTTCTACCACTTCTTTCTCTTCTTCTACCACTTTGAAGGTACTAGCACAGACTAACTGATACCGTTAGATTGGTGACAAATGGATCCGTTACTTTGACACGTATCGTATGACTCGTGTCTCTGTGTTTTAGGCTTGACTATACACTTTCGAATGTCTACGATGCACTGTTGCGATTTTTCCCCTTTTTTCCAGATTTTTTTCCTTTTTCCGATATTCCTCTTTTTTTTTTTAATCAAAACTGGACTCGGACTCAGGTGGTGTGGACTCGGATTCGGGTGGCGCAGACTCGGACTCGGACTCGGGGGTGCGGACTCGGACTCGGGGGGTGCGAACTCGACTACAACACTGTTACATATACAAACCTGACTGTCCTAGGTGGAACTCCTTGCAGAGTATGTCATTGTCAAAGAACGGATTCTCGTCAAAGTAGAACTTTATTCTATAGCCAGACTTGATGTCCTCAAACTCTTCTACCTCCACCTGTGAGAAATACAAACACTGATGCTGAGTGACATCGCATTACGCTAGCACAGGGGTGGATCAAACTTTTTTTTTTTTTTTAAATCAATAAATTTTGCTGAAAGTCAACATGTTGTGCTTGAACCCGAGGCTGACCTTGGTTAGTGTCATACAGATTAGTGTTCTATTGTCCCTGGTTCGCTCTGCAACGCCATTTCAGCTAATTATGGTCCAGAGATGGCGCCCTTGAGTCGAAACGCACGTATTATCTTAGAGCGCACCGCCCGATTTTAAAAGGTGCGGCCCTTTGACTTTTCATGGCCCACTGATGCGGCCCTCGCTTTGAAAAGTTTGCCCACCACTGCGCCAGCACATGCCTTAGCAGCCTACGCATCGCTTTCATAAGCCGTGAATTTTATTTTACAACCAGTTAAGAACCTGTTAAACGTAGCAGACGACCTCCAATATATCTTACTGTTCAAAGCACTTGACTTCAACAACAGCGAGGAAGACAGAGGCTGCAGAACTAATTACTATAGATCCACAATTCCTTATGCGCAATTTGAAAAAAGCTCTGTAAACTCGAGATTTTTTTATGAGGCTTCACTCGTGTGACTCTCTTGACATAACCCGAGTGGCGAAAAAACACGACCGGAGTTGGATGAGGCAAAAAATTATGATAACAAATAAACCGTAAAATTATTTCTTTATAGTCCTTATGCTATATAGTCCACTCAGTGCTAATATTCACAAGGTTTCCTGTAGAAATATTAATGCCCTCGCTTACAAGATGCTACAAAAGGCCCCTGTTAGTGTATTACCATAAAATACAGTACATGTATTGTACTGCGATTCTAAAATCTTAAAAATCCTAAATTCAGAAACATCTGGCCCCAGGATTCTGAATAAAGGATGTTGGACATGTACTATGAAACACCATATCACTTCAATGTGCCGGACGTGTGTGAAAGAGTAGATTAAGCGCTGATTTCTTCCCATTGAACAATATGAACGTATTTAAAAGTAATGACTTTGGAAATTTAGATCGTCTCTACATGGATTCATACTGTAAATGATTTTATACATTTGAATTTTCGTGGAAAAAGTGTTACACACTGTAGGCCTGCTACACATAGATAAAGCTTTATCTTCACATCCACACATATTTATGAAAAATTATCAAGTAGAACAGGAAATTACACTTGGAGATGTGCACTCACATAAAGTGTACATTCCTTTATGAGATACTAGCGTCACGTTTAATTCCCGATGCAACAGGCACGTTTTTCAAAAGACATACATGGGTGCATTAAACCTTACTGAAAGTCATAAATTATTTTAATACAATTTATCACTACCCAAAGTCGATGTCTTAAAGAACTCACTTTTGCACCTACTTACTAACATGTTTAAAAATTTCATCTGTGTGCATTACAATATGCGTCACACGCGCACGCATGCACACACGCGCTGTCTTCTCTAACTAGATGTAGATTCTACTTTCAAGCTTAATGAAATCATTACTTGTAATTTTTGGAAAATATCAGTTGTTATTTCCCTCGTGTGTGGCACGTGGCGAGAGCTAGTTTGTGCACGCACGCTCGTGCCAAGGCGAGCGCTAGTTTGTCTTAAAGAACTCACTTTTCATGGTAGCACCTAATTACTAACATGTTTAAATATTTCATCTGTGTGCATTACAATATGCGTCACACGCGCACGCATGCACACACGCACACAGAGAAAATTTTATATCTTCTCTAACTAGATCTAGATTCTACTTTGAAACTTAATGAAATCATTACTTGTAATTTTTGGGAAATATCAGTTGTTATTTCACTCGTGTGTGGTACGTGGCGAGCGCTAGTTTGTGCACGCACGCTCGTGCGCACACACTTACCTTAGTCAGATAGTGAAGACACTCTTCTTCTTCCTCGTCCAAGATTGCGGATATTTGCGGATGGTTCACAAACTGGCGCGGAAAAGTCACGGAAAAAACTCGCGAACGCTTTACACACTTGTCATTTTAGAGCAATAAAAAGTTGTTTTAGCCACACAAAGGATGTCTGTAATTAGAAATCAAAATTTGTGCAACTAATTCGTGTTCAAATTTCACTAGCATGCACAAACACTGGCAAAAATCCCTTGAAACTTCATTATACAATTATCGGGCAGTAAATAGGATGATACCTAATTAGAGCTAAATCTAATAAGCATCAATGTCCATTTTGATTTTTGAGCTACTCAATGAGCTACACATTAATGTATCAGCTATAACCTACATGAATACATAATAAAATACATGTGTAGCCATAAATAGAGAGAAGTACATGTTAAAGTTCTACATGTAGAATGCAATCTAACAATAGATTTATTAATTAAAAATACCCTAATAATTAACCTTCTAGACAGAGATAGCAGTATTTCCACAATTGCCATTATGTGGCATACATTTAATAACTAGAAAAAATCTTGTTGGCTTATGTGGAATATGTAAAATATGGCCAAATTTCAAACAGACCTGAAAGGTGAATTGACAGATTACATAGAAGATAACAATTTTCTTGTTTAATAGAGTCCTTTTTACTATTAAAATTATTAGTAGTAAATTATGCAACTTTCTCACTTTTTTGCAATTACTGAATTAGTTTCATAGTTGATAGGAATAATATTCACGAGAAAATACTCTAGAAAGCAATATTCACTGCTACAATAGCATGTGAAACATTATAACATTACATAGACCTAAAATAGCAAAAGTTTTCTGTACTACGGTCACAGCTAAATTATTATTTAATTTGTAATGATCCCAAATGCACCCCGTGCCACCCCAAAATACTCTAGAAAGCAATATTCACTGCTACAATAGCATGTGAAACATTATAACATTACATAGAACTAAAATAGCAAAAGTGTTCTGTACTACGGTCACAGCTAAATTATTATTTAATTTGTAATGATCCCAAATGCAACCCGTGCTACCCCAAAATACTCTAGAAAGCAATATTCACTGCTACAATAGCATGTGAACCATTATAACATTACATAGACCTAAAATAGCAAAAGTTTTCTGTACTACGGTCACAGCTAAATTATTATTTAATTTGTAATGATCCCAATTAAATGCACCCCGTGCCACGGCACCTGTTGGCACGCTTTGTGCAAACGGTGCAGGTTTACTAACGCGATAGTTTATTCAATGCCTTTCTTCACGGTATCGCCGTACATGCAGGTCAATCAATGCTGCAGCATGGGTGAGCTAACTGTGTTTACCAGTCGGCAAGCAGCCTGCTAGCGACGGCTGGAGTGAGCGAACGCGTGTTTTGTGCTCTTTACTACTACTACACTACAGCCCAGCACGCCGTGCTGTGTGCGACACACAAACCGGTGGCGCGCGAACAGCGCTAAAACGACGAAGTAAAGAAAGGATACGGCCGTCACCCAGAAGTTAGGAATCTTTCTGATCAACTCGTTCCTCTTCTCGAAGAAAGGCTTTCTCAGCTTGTTGTATTTCTGCTCGACTTTGAGGATCTCTTCGCTCGCTTTTTCGTTGAGCGCGTCTATCTCATTTTGGCAAGCGTCGATCTCTTCCAGGGCTTTCTGCGTTTCAGTGTCGTAGTCGCGGCTTTCGTCGCCTTCTCCGGCGCTCTCCGACCCATCCACCTTCCGCTGCTTCTTTGGCGTCGCCGAATCTGTCGCCATCTCTCTACAATTCACTACTTAGCAGGCAAAATTACGGAAAAATCTCACAGAAATTTTCAAAATGATGGTCCTTCCTTGTGCTGTTTGAACATGCGCAATGGTGCTGCGATGTGCAGGATAGTACAACGATTGTGATTGGTCGTTGCAACCGGATGCTCGCTCGGGATGTATGATTTTTCTACAAATGACGGCGGCTCTCTTATCCGTCCAATCGTACTGGCATTTTAGGTTGTGTTTCAAAATGGCTGACGATGTTAGTGTATTTGAAAACCTTACACGCAAAATCACGGAAAACAGCGCCAAAGAGCACGAAACATCGACACGTACAAGCGCGGCGAACGTTATAAAACACAGAACGCGAAGTTCGCACACGAATAAAGACAGAGAGCGACAGCGAAAACGCGGTAAGCGCACGACAAACCCGCCAGAAAACGGCGACGGAGCGAAACATGTGAAACGTCACGTGCACACGAGCACGCCTACCACGGCGCACACCGTGAACGAAAACTCGCAGCAGACGAACGACGTTAAGACCTCCGTTGCCGGCTGCACGGTGAACGTGAGGAAGATGAGAGCGGCTCGCGCCGACCGCCCGGACAACGCTCGCAGATCAGAGAGCGACTCCGATTTCGGCGCCGGCGCCGACCGGGACGCGTCGCCGCCGCAGCGCTCCCGCGTCAACGGCAGCGAGTCGGACGCAATCCCCCGCGCGGTGGCGGCGGACGGCGTAGACCGCGGCTCGGTGGAGCGCGCGAGGCGTAAACGGGTTTGCCACGACTACCGGCGCCTGTCTAACGCCGGTTACCTCGACGTCGGAAACAAGAAAGTCCCACTGAGCGTCGCCGGCGACTTCCCCCTGGAGATGACGATGGAGGACGTGCCGCCGCCGCCGCCGCCGCTGAAGGTCATGCCCCTGAAGATTAAACTACCAAAGCCGAGTTTCGACGAGCTCTCAGCGTCGAGCGAGGAAGCGGAAGGTACCTGAGGGTCGAGCCTACGTTATCAGACCTCTACATGCGTCAGCGTCGTCGCCACCCGTGTCCTAATCCGGGCGGAGTGTACCCTACAACACCCATGTCGTCGCCGTACCGCGGTGTTTGTACGTTGCAACGACCATGGATCTTCTAGGGTGTACGGTGCCCCCTAACCCTAACCCTAACCCTAACCCTAACCCTAACCCTAACCCTAACCCTACAACACCCATGTCGTCGCCGTACCGCGGCGTTTGTACATTGCAACGACCATGGATCTTCTAGGGTGTACGGTGCCCCCTAATCCTAATCCCAATCCTAACCCTAATCCTGACCCTAACCCTAACCCTAACCCTAACCCTAACCCTAACCCTAACTCTAACCCTAATCCTGAGACCAGAAAACCTAAAGTGGTCACTCAAGTCTAAGTTTCGACCCTCGCACCTACGACTCCATGTCATCACTCGTACGTTTACCTTAACCTCTGTTAAATTGACTACGTCACGAATTTTCCATGGTAAAATTTGTAAAAAAAAATTTGCCATTTTTTACATTAAAAGTAAGAACTAACGTTACTAAATATATCCTCAAACTCTCACCTGATAAAAATGTTTTTACGTTGGATAAATTTGCAAAAATCTAGACGATTTGGTAATTTCTGTTGTCTAATACTATTCCCCCAGTACTGTTCAGATACTGGCGTCTCTCTGTTTTTCACCGGCAAATTTGGGCATATAAAGAAGGTATATAAGCATGAAAAGTAAACAGAAACACTAATTGTATTTTCATACATTTTATTTTGTACAAATAACACACAAATATACTACTTGATGGTGCTAGAAATTCGTTACGTAATCACTTTAAAGCCTAACTGGCAGTGTACCTGTAAAATATTCTGTCACAACTCGGCTCGTTGGAAAGCTGGCTGAATTTATTCCCGTTTAAAAATGCATGTGATACCAGCGTAGCACCATGTAGCTACATTCACTTCCACTAGTAACCCCAAAGAAACTGGCTATCGGACTGATATTAAGGAGTAGCCCAAAAATCGAACTATTGCATATGTCTATTATAGCCATCTGAACCAATGAATGTTAAAATTAGTAGGTACACAGTATAGTATACTGTGTACCTACAAAATTTAACGTTCATTGATGTTTTAACGACGAATCGCCTTTTAAGCATCGTTAATCGTTTAACTGTTTACGCGACAACTGCTGTGGTGACGCTGCGAAATAGATGAGAGAAAAGTCAAAAGCACGCTGGTTTCCAAAGTAAACAATCAGTTGGCCATGTTATTTCAGTGACACAAGATTTTCTAGCAGAAACGTATGTGTAAACAGTATACATAGCAGGAGAGTTGGATTTGGTTACAGTGCTTGCTAGGCTACAGGCAGTAATGCCCTGTGAGGCTCGAGATGGCCACATATAGCTGTGTTGTCAAACATTGGTAATCCTATGGGAACAAAACTGGATTCTTATGCATTTTAAACATTATTTTTAAATAATTCTAATGTCAAAAACGTTGCATGATGAGACTGAATGCAAATTACCATGACAATGATTTGTCTTGCTTTATTAGTTATTATCAGTCCTGTAATATTCTCATATATTTTTAATCAGTTCTCTTGCAGTATCGTTTTACCACATTGGGACTAAAATTAATTGTATTTCCATCTGTTCGTCATACCGCTTAAAGGCATTAATTAGCCAAATGCGTTTTAATTTATCATCTTGCAGACGACGATCAAGATAAGATGCTATGCACGGGGGAAGATTCCACTAACGTGGAAGGCTTCCATAAAAGGAGACACAAGGAGCGGGAACACAAGGAGAAGCATCACCGTCGCCACCACAAACACAAGCATCATCATCGTCACAAGCATCAGAAGAAGACGAAGAGAGATCCGGACTCAATCGGCGAGGTAACAACAATAGAATAGATAGAGAGATGTAGCGTAGTTACAGAAGAGATCCTCACATTGGCAGGTTAGTTAAATCCTTCCCGCGTCTTTGTGGCGCATAGGGCGGTGCCTATCTCCGTTTCAGTAACCCTGAGGCCCTGCAGCTGCTTTCACAGTAAATGCTACAGTAGAGGGTTAGTCCACTAGTAGCACTGCGAGTTAACTTGCCACACTCTATCTCTATTTGCTGAATGCTAAGGCCAAACCAAAAAATAGGTGTGTTTCCGGTCGACCGACCGTCTCTAGATTAATAGGGCCGACCCTAAACTTTAAAAAGAAATAAAAAAATAATCCCCATTTAAAATCTGACAGACAAAACTTCAGATTTTTTACTATCTACAAACACGTTCTGGACTTGCTTACTAACTTATCCCTACCTATACACCACTTTATAGCATGAATCAGAGGGATATTAGGAACCGAAGAATAAAAAAAATAAAAAAATCCCCTACCTACCCTACTTTTGTTTTCGATGCAATAGGAAACACACCTATTTTTTTGTTTGGCCTAAGCAGAGAAGCCGTGTGTATCATTTTTCAAGTCTTTGGTATGACCCGGCCGGGAGTTGAACCCCCGACCTTCCACATGCGAGGCGAGTACTCAACCATTGAGCCGTCGCTGCGGTTAAGGCAGATTGGTGCACATTGGCAGGATTGTATCAAAAACTTGCGCCGTTCGCTGAAAAACAATTCGGGAGCGTCATCAAATTAAATCGTTTTCCTCATTTCTACAACTCCTTTGAGTTCATCAATAATAGAGAAAATGACCGAATCAAACATCTCGAGAACTCGCTGGATAAAATTAAACATCCCCAGCAGTGAAAAAATTACACGGGGACGGCGGGCGAAATTGCCCCCGAAATTCCCAAAAGAGCCCCCGAAAATGTGATTACGGGGGCGACAGTTAAAAAGAAAACGGTTCAAAATCGCCCCGTAATCGCACGCTTCGAAGTCGATGCATTGCCATGGTTACACTAGCCAACCGCAGCTCCAAGCTGCTGCAAATCCGCAATGCCTGAACCAGTGTCTCGGCTCCAGCGCAGTTTCAATCCCAGATTTCCAATTCCAGGAAAGAGTTTTGCTGTCGCTCTCTCACACCAGCGGTGCCATCAACATGCCCCACTCGCCCCACCTCCATACTTCAATCAATGCCGCCCTAGCCAGCAGGCACGTACGCAGCCACAATGTGCACTGCCACAGACGTGGGTAACACGGGTTTGTGAAACTTTGTGAATAACACAAGGTTTTATTCAAGTGCAAAGAAAGTAGCCCCTGAAATTTGAAAAAGTAGCCCCGGAAAAGAGGAGCCCCCGAAGTGGAAAAAATAGCCCCGGAAAATTGAAAAAGTAGCCCCCGAATTTTTTTAAGGAGTTGGAAAAAGAGCCCCGGAAATTAAAATTATTTTTTTTTCCCTGATCCCCAGACGTAATACCACAGAGACTTCTCAATGGTAGAGTGCTCGCCTCGCATGTGGAAGGTCAGGGGTTCAACTCTCGGCCGGGTCATACCAAAGACTTGAAAAATGGTACACACGGCTTCTCTGCTTAGCATTCAGCAAATAGAGTGTGGCAAGTGGCAAGCGATGGTGTCACGATAAAAATACCCGGCCGGGAGGACGGCGAACCCGGACTAGTATATACAGCCTTGTAAGGAACAAATGTTCCCGACTCAAGGAAGCATCATCATGCCAACCTTGGTCGACGAAAATATAAAAAAAAGAAAAGAAAAGATGTAATAACCAGCTGTAGTAACCCCCGATACCGAGGCGTTCGCTCGCGCCTCGCGGTTTTTAACGTGGCGGCGATGATGTCATTCCTAGCCTCAGCCGGGGGACGCCGCGGACAGAGCTATGTTGAACAGCAGCAGCAGCAGCAGTGGCGCCTCCTGCGGGGACACGCTCGGGGGAGGGAGCCGGGAGAACAACGGAGCGTGGTTGACCGTGCCGGAGAGAGACGACATGAGGTTGACACGACGCCGGTCGCAGGAGCTGCTGCAGGTCAGCGAAGTTAGCGTGTGTATACTCATCTATTTTTTTCGTTATTTATTTATTTATTTAGTCATTTGTTCATTATTTTATTTACTTATTTAGTCATTTATTTTCTTTCTTTCTTTTATTTAGTTACCTAGTCATTTGTTCATTTGTTTATGTTAATTAGTAATTCTTACATAGTTGTCGTTAATAGTGTGGCAATGTTTTGAAACGTCCATGAGAAACGTGTGTTTCTCAAAAAGTGAAACGAAAAATTATCAGAATGTTTAGATTTAAATTTGAAAACAGACAAAAATGCAAGCGACGGTCGTATGGTTGATGTCACGCTCGTGCGTAATCGGCAATTTTCGTTAATTTAGGAACAATTGGAGGCTGTTGCCATGACAACGGCAGTGCAGGTGTCTCCACCATCTATCTGCGCCCGGCAGCAGCAAGACCCGATCGTTAAGGTGTCTCCGCCGCCGGCCGTGCAACCGAGAGAAGATTCGAGGAATTGTCAGAAGAAGAGCCAGAGTCGGCAGCGCTTCCCCAAGCTGAGTCAGGGTGTCCACGCGGCTGCCGTGCACGACGTCGCCATGGCAACGACGGTCGCCTTGGAAATGCTCACGACCAGACACAGCACGTTGCCAGGGCTGCAGAGGGACGACAGCGAGTCAACGTTGTCGCCACGGCAACGAGGGTCGGATGGTAGCGTGTCCTTGTCGTTACCGCGGCGACAAGGGTCAGACGACGCCAAGGCCCCATCGTTGCCACGGCGACTGAATTCGGATGGATGCAGGGTGGATGTACATCTCTCCAAGCTTGCACGCAAAGAAGTAAAAGCGGATCCCCACGCTGGAGAATCTGTGGACGATGCGTCGACAGACGCCCGCGGGAGGGTCGGATCCGGTCGTCACGGCGACAGATCGCGCGCACGCCGCACAACCACCGACGCAGACGAAGCCGTTACTGATGCGACGAGCCAGGACAACGCACGACGTGCTACTGGGCAGACGCCACTCGCAGCCGACGACGTATCCACGGCAACCCCGCGCGGGTTGTCAGGTCGTCGCCGCGACGACCACGCCCTACGGGTCGCGTCGTCGGTGCTGCAGCGCGTCTGCGAGGAGACGAGCGTCGTCGGGGCAACGGAGCGCTCCGCGGAAGAGGAGGCTGCTGGCAGGAGCCTGGTTCCTGCATTCGAGTCTGTCGCCAAGGCGACCGGCGTGGCGTTGCCGGGCGACGCCGCATCTGCAGACGAGTCTCATCCAGATGATCGGACGTCGGCTGCCGGAAGACGTGGAGAAGACTCCGGCGCAGGCGTCGTCGTGGCGACGGAAGACTCCGCGTCTGCGCGAAGTGTCGACGTCGGGGTGAGCGTTGCCGTGCGAGAGACGGCGCGGCTGGCGGCGGGGACGATCGAACGCCGGTGCGTCGGCGGAAGACGACCAGCAGACGACGCAAAAGCAATAGCCGAGACTCGAGACCGCGAACGAGAGACGGCAACGACGACGGCGGCGACCCCGGACGCGGGAGAGGTCACGATCGCGGCGGAGACGGACGGCGGCGCGTGGGAGGAGGGCCCCCCGCGTGACGTCGCCCCCCACCCCGCTCCCACCGCTACGTCGGCCCGCGAGATGCCGGGCGGCCACGGGAGAGCGGACACCGCGAGTCAAACCGGGGAGAGTTGCTCCCGGAAGATTCCCGGAGCGGAAGAGGAAGCCGGAGAAGGAGGGACGGGGGTAGCGGGAGAGGAGCCGAGGAGCGAGCGGAGGAGGAGGCGATCGGGGCGACGCGAGGGCGGGCGGAAGCGGCAGCGGGACAGCCAGGGGGCGCCACTGGCGAAGCAGCGGCGACCCGACGCGGCGATGCAGTCTCTCGGCGAATCGCCCGCTGCGGAGAGCAGCGCCGAAAACAACGGAACGTCGCTCAGCGTTGAAGACTCGCTGCCCCGAAAGACGAGGGCATCAGTTGCCGTCGGCGACACCGCTTTGCCTGAAGCTGTTCCGACAATGTCCGACGCCGGAGGCAGCGTTATTGGCGGCGTTACATCGCTCCCTTCTTCCCCCTCGCCGCGCGAGCCGGCGTCCGATCCCGCGGGCGAGGGGGAGAGCGAGCCGTCGGTTAATCGCACGGATGCTGGCGTCGCCGAGTCGCCCCACGGAAGCCATTCAGCGGAAGATGCTGATGAGATGCGGTCGGATGTGAAAGAAGGCGACCCGTCGAGCAACGATGGCAACAAGACGAGAGTCGATCCACCTCGAGATGGCGCTGTCGAGTCTCGGCCTTTGGCAGGAGGTGAGGTGGTAGGGGTCGAGAAGGAAGGAGAAGGTGAGAAGGTAGGGGTCGAGAAGGAAGGAGAAGGTGAGAAGGTAGGGGTCGAGAAGGAAGGAGGAGGTGAGAAGGTAGGGGTCGAGAAGGAAGGAGAAGGTGAGAAGGTAGGGGTAGAGAAGGAAGGAGAAGGTGAGAAGGTAGGGGTCGAGAAGGAAGGAAATGGTGAAAGCGTAGGGTCGAGAGAAAGGAGAAGCGTGAGAACGGTAGGGGTCGAGAAGGTAGGAGAGGTGAGAAGGTAGGGGGGTCGAGAAGGCGAAAGGAGAGTGAGAATGGTAGGCGTAGAAGAAAAGAAGGAGAAGCGGTGCAGAAGGTAGGGGTAGTACGAAAGAAGGAGAAGGTGAGAAGGTAGGGCGGTGCGAGAGAAAGGAGAGGAGGAAGGTAGAAGGTAGGGGAGTAGCAGAAGGAAGGAGGAGGTGAGAAGTAGGGGTCGGAGAAGGAAGGAGAAGGTGAGAAGGTAGGGGTCGAGAAGGAAGGAGAAGGTGAGAAGTAGGGGTCGAGAAGAAGGAGAAGGTGAGAAGCGTAGGGGTCAGAGGAAGGGAAGGGGAGAAGTAGTCCAGTGAAGGAAAGGTAAGGTGGTCGCGAGAAGAAGGAGAAGGTGAGAAGGTAGGTCGAGAAGGAAGGAGAAGGTGAGAGGTAGGGGTCGAGAAGGAAGGAGAAGTGGGTCCTGAGAAGGTAGCCCGGGTCGAGAAGGAGAGAGTGAGGACGAAAGAGTGAGAAGGAAGGAGAAGGTGAGAAGGACAAGACACTGGCGGCGGCGGTGACAGTGACAGCACGGCGGCGTGGTTCGAAGCAAGCGGATCTATTATCAGAACCTGTTCAAGAAGAGGTGTTGCAAGGACCAGTTCAGGGGGAAATCTTGGCGGCACCAATGCAAGCAGAGGTATTGACAGAACAAGCTGAGCAGGCAGACGCCTTGCCGGCTCCACCTCCAGACGATGGGTTGCTAGAATCTATTCCAGAAGGCATGTTATCAGTGAAAGAAAAGAAGTGTTTGCCAGACCTAGTTAAGGGAAGATGTGATGCCAGAACCAGTGCAAGAAGATGTATTGCCAGAGCCAATAAACGCAAATGTATTGCCAGAACGAGTGCATGAAGGTGAATTGCCAGAAAAGGTTCAGGAAGACATAATGCCAGAAAAAGTTCAGGATGAGATACTGGCAGAACCAGCTCAAGTGGGACATGCCAGAACCAGATGAGGTGTTGCCAGTACCCAGTGAAGGTGTTGCCAGAAACAGCTAAGGTGTTGCCAGAACCAGTGAACGTGTTGGCAGACCCAGTGCAGGCATTGCCAGAAACAGTTGAGTGTTGCCAGTACAGCTAAGGTGTTGTCAGAACCAGTAACTCGTTGCCAGAAACAGGGAAGGCATTGCCAGAAACAGTTGAGGTGTTGCCAGTACCAGCTAAGGTGTTGCCAGAACCAGTGAACGTGTTGCCAGACTTAGTGCAGGCATTGCCAGAACCAGTGAACGTGTTGGCAGACCCAGTGCAGGCATTGCCAGAAACAATTGAGGTGTTGCCAGTACCAGCTAAGGTGATGTCAGAACCAGTAAACTCATTGCCAGAAACAGGGAAGCATTGTCAGAAACACTTGAGTGGTTGGCAGTGACCCAGATAAGGTGTTGTGTCAGAACCAGTGATGCTATTGGCCAGAAAGGCAGGGAAGGCATTGCAAACCAGTGAATGCATTGCCAGAACCAGTGAATGTGTTGCCAGAAACAGTTGAGGTGTTGCCAGTACCAGTCAAAGCATTGCCAGAAGCAGTGAAGGCATTGCCAGAACCAGTGAAGGCATTGCCAGAAGCAGTGAAGGTATTGCCAGAACCAGTCAAGGCATTGCCAGAAGCAGTGAAGGCATTGCCAGAACCAGTGAAGGCATTGCTAGAACCAGTTGATGCATTGCCAGAACCAGTAAAGGCATTGCCAGAACCAGTTGAGGCATTGCCAGAACCAGTGAAGGCATTGCCAGAGCCAGTTGAGGTGTTGGTTGAGCCAGCTGAGGTGTTGACAGAAGCCGTGGGAGGGGACAGGAGTGCGGAAGCTGAACACCTAGATCACCCTGCGCCGCCGCAGCCCGATCACGCGGGGGCGCCACCGCAGCCCGACCATGCGGGGTCGCCGTCGCAGCCCGACCACGC